TTACAAAGTGTGACAACTTGTTATTACAAAGTGCGACAGCTTAATTTATTACAAAGTGCGACAACTTGTTATTACAAAGTGTGACAGCTATTTTATTACAAAGTGTGACAAGTGTTATTACAAAGTGCGACAGGTATTACAAAGTGCGACAGTTTTATTACAAAGTGCGACAGGTATTACAAAGTGCGATGATTATTACAAAGTGCGACAGAACACGGTTCATAGTCTACATGGTAAAAGCCGTCGACGGTTTATAAAGTTTAGCTAATACAATCGAAAGTTAGTAGTTTTCACAGTTTTACAAATGCTGTAATTTCAAAATGTAAGTGCAATAAAGTGAAGTTGAAGTTGAAGTTAAAGTTGATCGGCCATCGATCAATTAACGAACATCGTTTGACTTTGTTGCTGTGTGAGCTCAACAAGTAAATGTAATGATCAACACTTCTACGGGAAAAATCAAACAAAATATATTTAGACTCGATGATGGCTCTTTAACTACGCAAATGCGATCGGCCTCTGGGAGAGAGAGATTGGGGAGAGTGAAACGAACAATTTCGAACGAAACTAATACCCATGTCATCTTTCAAAGGTGGAATTTTATTCCTTCGGTAATTTATAAACACGTGTCAGACCTATTTCAAAAAGTATTATGGACGTTGGCGAACTGACATATAAGCGTTGGCCAACTGATCCAGGACATTGGCGGATCGACTTCATACGTTGTCGAACTGGTCGTTGGCGAACTGAGACGCTGGCGAAATGACCGACAGGTTTCTTTCACAGGTCACAGGTCACCAAAAAATATGGCAAAACGTCATAAAACAGATGCAGACAAGTGCGTCTCAAGTGTAACTATAACAGCTCTTTTCTGGAAAAAAAATTTGATCCAAAGAAAGCCAAGACTTATTTCTGTTGAAAACATAAATTGTTTGTAGCCTGTCGATGTAATATGAAAACGAAAGAGGCTTACACTGATCCGTGAATTATGCATTTACTTACGCGTGATTTGCGAACCAACGACTTTTGCGGGAATAATTGTTCACTTTTTTTTGGAGATTTTAGCGTCATTAAAGCTCGTAAACTACACCAAACTAGATGTGAAACCTGCCCATTCCACGCGCTTACGGCTGGAGGACTGAGAACTAACCACAGCGACATTGAACCAGAAGGGCCTAGAATCTAGTCTGTCCCGATGTTTCACACACGGCATTTCGATGCATCAAAATGGAGGGTTCTGTATGTTTTGCGAAACGTGGATAGAATTTGTATTTTTATGTGACACATGATTTAGCCTTTGCATTTTTACGTGAAAAGTGATTTTTTCTGTGAACGTGAAGCTGTTTTCGACTTTTTTGTGATGCGTGAAAAGGCCAATTACTTATGCGTGAAATTGTTTTGAGAGGAGGTATAGGGGACCCTCTTGTTTCTGTTTAGTACATACTCGTTGTAAAGATTTCAAAAAAAAGATAGAAATGAAACAGTTCAATTTGCTATAATAATGAAGTATCTTATTACTATAAAATATGTTAACACTACATGTCTGAAAGCTACATTTCAACCCATTTCGTACATATACCACCTCTAGAAATTTTTTCATTAAAATTATAGAGTAAAACACTTTTAGTTAGGGTTTGTTACATGGAAACATCGATAAACCTCTCGGGAATCTCGGTAATTGTTACATCGCGAGTTTTACTGAGTATTTTTATTATGACCTGTGACCTGTGATCCGTGACCTGTGGCCTGTGACCTGTGACCTGTGACCTGTGACCTGTGAAAGAAACCTGCCGCGAAACGACCGGTGGGAATACGAAATCCATGGGTCGGTTCTGACTTGTTCCAAAAGCTACTGACAAAGAAAAGACATTCGGACAAAAAGTTTGGAAAACTGAAAGAAACAGGATTTCCAAAACAAGGTGACACGGTGAAGTCTCACGGTGTACCAGACGCCATGTTGGTAGAGCTGACTTCATTGTGTAAGCAAGTCACGGTATTGGACTAGGCTAATGCGGGCAGTCTTCAAATGGTTAATCTCTTTTTAATGATATTCCCCCGCATGAGCCTCTACCGCGAGCTAGGTCCAGTCCAATACCAAGAATGTGGTCTAATTTGGAGCAGGGTGTACTCCACTGCCACCAAGTGTCGCAAGCCTTTTGATCAGGATTGTATGGTGGACTGGTTTGATTTTGTAATTATAAAGTTTCACTTGGATGTTACAGTTAACCCTGCTCTAAATTTGAAGTCCCTGACCTTTGTTATGATTTCACTTGAAAGCCTGGAGTCTTTCCTTCTGTACCACACAGAGTGACTACATATATCACTGACGTGAAAGCATTAGTTATGTATTATAATGTATGACATTCCACTTTTTCTCCACGTGAAAAGTAAAATTATCTATTCTTAAAGGTGTGTATTGACCTTAAGTATATAGATCGTTCTAGATACAATGGGTAACATTTCTGTACACCAAATGTGTCAGAAAGAGAGTTTAGTGTATTCTTGGTTCAGGTTATTACAATGAACTTAACACACAGCAGTTCAATTAACAGGTTGATCAACTAGCTTCATATCCCACTTCCAGCTGTAGTTACAGTTAAGGTGGCTCTATATAGTTTTTTTGGCGCGCGAGGCATGGGTGCGAATGGCGCGAGCGCGCGAGTATTTAAAAGAAAAGTAAAAAACAAAAATAAACATGTTGGCGAGACTTTTATCGCGAGTCGCGTTCCACTTACCGCTATCCTTTTTGACCAGAACAAGTGTTCATCAAAAAACGCCTAGAAATGTGTTTAAAAATACACTTCTTTCGTGTTCTCCTGACGTGGTTAAACTGAGAAGCCAATTCGAAGCACTTATCGCGCCGACATCAGAGAGAGAAGACGGTCGTGATCGTAC